ACCCTAAGGGGCCTAGGGTTTTGGGTTTGGGGTTTAGGGTTTAGGGTTCAGGGTTTAGGGTTTAGGGTTTAGGGAAGACGTGGCCCTTGAAGTATTTCCTGTGTGGGGACTTTGTGGCCCAAGTCACATGTTAGGCTCTGGGCTCATACGGCTTCAATAGGGTTTCAGGCCGTTTCTTGGGGGGGTTTGTCGACAACATCGCACTTCAAAACCCTAACCTTAACCCTACATGTAAGCTGCGTCTCCAGCATTTCGCACCCTAAGCCCTACCTAGACCCTAAACCCTAAACCCTAAACCCTAAACCCTAAACCCTAAACCCTAAACCCTAAACCCTAAACCCTACAAACAGAATGTCCAGAGGCCTGCAGGGCTGGTGCCGGTTCAAGCTTCCGATAATTTCTTCCTGCTTCAAGCACGTGGTGTGATTTTTATGTCAATCTCCTAGGGTTTAGGGTTTAGGGTTTAGGGTTTAGGGTTTAGGGTTTAGGGTGCCGCGATGGGGATATTGAAGGCATCTTAAAAGGTATCAGTGCTTGCAGGGCTCTAGGAAGCCACGTTTCCTAAGAACAACCCCTGGGCATGGGTTGTCGGTTTAGGGTTTAGGGTTTAGGGTTTAGGGTTTAGGGTTTAGGGTTTAGGGTTTAGGGTTTAGGGTTTAGGGTTTAGGGTAATCTGGGGGAATTAAAGGTTAACCTTTGGGACTATAAGGGGATTATACTACCCCCAAGATGGTTCAAGGTTACCCACTCTACTACTAGGAGTCCCTAAGCAAGCCGGGAACCGCTTCCTGGAGAAGCTCTGGCCGCATCTGAATTCATGCACAAATACCTCAGGTTGGCCAGTGGGCCCCCACCGATTCAAAACACCAAAAGCCTATAGTACCCCAAGCCCTACACCCAAAAGAACCCTGTAGCACCCGAAAGAACCCTGTAGAGCCCTGTAGAGCACTGTATATCGGACCCCATGGAAGCCTATAGAACCCTAGAGAACCCCTAAGAACCCCTAGAGAACCCCTATAGAACCCTACAGAACCCTATAGAACCCTAAGCCTTTAAGCCGAAAACCCGTAACCGCAAGACGTCGGTGCCGACTGCGCCACTTCGGAGCTTAAACTCGGACTCTCTTGTTAGGGTTTTGGGTTTTTGGGGTTTAGGGTTCGCTCTAAACCCTAAACCCTAAACCGTTTAGGGTTTGGGGTTTGGGGTTTTGGGGTGTAGGGTTCAGGGGTTTAGGGTTTAGGGTTGGGATTTTGGGGCTTTGGTTTGAGGATATAGGGTTTAGGGGTCTTCTTCAATCAGCACTATGGTTTACCTGTAGAAACAACGTCTCAGAGAATCCTGCAAGCACCCGAAACCCGAAACCCAAACCCTAAACCCTAAACCCTAAGTACAGTATGTTGCCCAAGGCGGCTTAAGGAAGCCCGAACAATACAAACAGGGAATACGAGACACACTCCTGCTCGCAGGGTTTAGGGTTTAGGGTTTAGGGTTTAGGGTTTAGGGTTTAGGGTTTAGGGTTTAGGGTTTAGGGTTTAGGGTTTAGGGTTTCTCAGAATAGCTTCTCGGTAGTTTGCAAGGCGGAGCATCCTTTAAATAAAGGGTTTTGGTGTTTGGGTTTAAACCCTAAAGCCTGAATCCCAACCCCGAAATCCCAAACCCTAAGATCTGCAGGATCTATAGCTGGTCATGGAGGCGGAAATGGGGTACCTCGTTCCCTACCGCCTTGCTCCGAAACAACAAGAATAGGCTTCGGGCTATCTGAAACATAGGGCTCGCGGTCTGGAGGGTTTAGGGCTTAGGGCCCTAAACCCTAAACCCTAAGCCCTAAACCCTGAACCCTAAACTGTAACCCTAACCCCTAACCCCTAACCCCTGACCCCTAAACCCTAAACCCTGAACCCTAAACCCTAAAGTGTCTCTGGGTGACTGCCGAGCAGCTGAAGCAGCACAGTCGACATTTAGGGCCACTGGCCGACAGCCCCGGGTCCAGGGCATGCCGTTTAGGGTTTAGGGTTTAGGGTTTAGGGTTTAGGGTTGAGGGTTTAGGGTTTAGGGGTTAGGGTTTAGCGGTTAGGGGTTTAGGGTCTGGAGTTTGGGGTTTAGGGTGTAGGTGTAACTAGGGTGTACGAGAACCCACGAGTAGCCCTGAGAACAGCAAGAGTGCCCTTTTGGGTTTAAACGGGCTTGTAAGGGAGCCTAAACCTCAAAAAAGGGGGAGTAAGAGACTACTAGAACCCTAAACCCTAAACCCTAAACCCTAAACCCTAAACCCTAAACCCTAAACCCTAAACCCCAAAACCTAAACCACCATCTTGGGAAATGCCCACCTAGACTTGCGGAGCCAAAGGGCACATGATGTCGAGCGATCTCGTGGGGACCCTTGAGGTTTCTGGTAAGGCCTATGAAAGCTTATGACTTGGAAAACCTAGGGTTTTGAGTCTAGTTTAGGGTTTAGGGTTTAGGGTTTAGGGTTTAGGGTTTAGGGTTTAGGGTTTTGAGTCTAGGGTTTAGAGCGCCTAACATTTCGAGGGCTTCGGGTTTAGCACTGCTGGCTTGAGTAGACAGCAGGACGACCCACAAAGAAGAAGGTCTGTCAGTTGATGGCAGAAGTCTTTGCAGCCAATAGTTCCCTGGACCCGAGGCGAATTCCCACCTAGAGTTTTCAGAAAGCTACAGAATCAAAAACACAGGAATGGCTCACCTCATTCTTCAAACTGGGACCCTTTGCTTGGGGCGCGAGAAGCCACAATATTGTCCACAGCATTTCGTGACGCTAGGGGGCTTTTTGGGCCCTATAAAATTCAAATTAAAAGGGTTCTTAGGGTTATATGGGGGTTTACGAAACAGGGGACATACAGTCCCCAAATGGTGGGATGCCCTAGCTTACAATAAGGACCCCAATAAAGCAAATATCGGGAACCCCCATTTTGGGATGAAGGCCCACAAAAATTGGCAGATCATTCGAAATCCCCCGGGGATGAAGCCTGGCGCTGTACTTCTCCATGGTTTTCCACCGACAGTCGCCGCGTGTCCACAATCTCGGTAAAGACATGGGGCTCTTGCTCAACGCCCCATCGAAACCTCAGGGTTTTTGCAGGCTCAACGTGCTAATCCAGGAGTTTAGGGTTCGAGGATTTAGGTCCTGATCCTCCAAAGCCCCTTATACAATTAAGGAATACACCCTAATTTATACTAAGGATCATAATTATTCTGAATTAGGCAATATTCCTGAATTAAGGGGTTTGGAAGATCTGGGGGCGTTGAGGCTTCCTGTTCGAGTTGACGCGAGACGTGTCGTTCCTTGCGGATTGTAGGCTGCGAGCTCTAGGGTTGTAAGAGACGAGTTGGGGTGCCATGTGGGTGGTTTAGGGTTTATGGTTTAGGGCTTAGGGTTCAGGCCAATTTTGGTCCCGCAGAAACCTGTCCAGAATAGCCACATAGCGGTCATGTAGGCGGCGATCCGGCGGCATGGGGACATCTCTCGGGGCATCCCTCCAGCAAACGGACTGCCTGGGTTGGCCCTTTAACCCTTTGAAAAATACCGATGTATGTACATATATATATATTTTAAATATACAGGGTCCCTTATAAACCCAAATGTATGTGTATATATACAATATATTAAATATATCGGGCCCCTTATAAACCCAAAATAAGGAAAATGTAAAATGTCCCAAAAGCCGACCTAGTGTCCAGGAGGACCAATTGTCCTTCTCGTCCTCCTCGTCCTCGTCACCTTGCGCAGAGCCAGGCACCTTAGTAGCCCAAAAACCATCTTATCATAAGGGCACCCTTTTTTTGGTGTTGGCTATTTTATAAGGGAAACCATTAAAAACAAAGTAAAGGGTACCACTGGGCTACCAAGGTACAGAAGTCGCGCTGGACCAGTTCATGAGCTGACGAGCCGATGTTACTCTTGCTGCTGAGCCGATGTGGTCGTCCTTTGCCGCGTCCCGTACTTCGTCCTCGTCCTCGTCCTCTTGCAGAGACGAGGCCCTCATGTCCTCCTTCGGGGCGGGTCTTGCTTCGCGCATCTCCGGATGCTTGCAGAAACTCCTGCGGACATGAGATGCACCAGCGTGTGGAGGATCTGCCGGCACGCTGATCTCGTCAGAGGAGGGAACCACTTGAGATAGTGCTTTGAGCGCTGCTTCATGAGCTGCTCCCTCATGCGACACACGCTTAACGCTGGCGCTGCATCCCATGGCCCGGATGGCTCTGTCTAAAGGATGGGCCTTTTGCTGTCGCCCGCGTGGCGAGCTTTTGATGCAAACGTGGCACTGAGAAACTCCCGAGCAGCTGGGGGGAAGGGGGGGGGGGGGCGGGGGGAAGGTCATCTGTCAAAATAAGCTCCCGGAACGCACTTTGGGTATGGGATGAACCCCAAATAAATGACCTCGTCCTAAACCCTGAACCGCGACCATGTTTGCAGTGAACTGCCCACCTGAACAGTCCCACATGCCCCAGGACAAGTCTTCCAGGGATGATAGATCACTGCGGCGTGGGGCTTCTCAACTACTAGGGTTTAGGGTTTAAGGTTTAGGGCGGTTTAGGGTTTAGGGCGTCAGTCCCAACCTCTATATACAGGGTTGAAGATAGGGTTTAGGGATTCGGGTTTAGGGGGAGAGCCCGAAACTCTAAACCTTGGCCCTTATGGGACAAGGCCTATTAGCACTTTGGGGCAATTTGGGGCCTGTGTATTAACATATGATGGAATTCTGTACTTGTGCACTTTACGTACAAAATTGCATGTACATAGCAGATGAAATACAGAATATGCAAGGTAGTGAATGGTGTTTTAAGACGTTCGGTCTCCGAGGCTTTGCAGCATCATAGCGCGTTGTGGATTTTCAAGATTTCAGGACACTTCCCAGAATATGACCTGACAACCCCCAAAACCCCCAAAACCCCGAAACCTGCCTTCCTCCCCCCCCCCGCCCCAAACCCTTAACTTCTCCCCCCCCCCCCCCGCCCCGGACCTACACACCCTCCCTTGTGGCCTCCAGAGTGCGAGCTAGGGCCAGCGCCTCCTGCGCAAACCTGGTGGCCTGCGATGGAGCTTGGGGCGTAGGGCTTACCTAAAGGCTCCTATGTAGTATTTTTTTGGGGTAGTATACAAGAACCCCCTATAACCAACCCAAAAAGGAAATGCATTAGACACGCCAGGTAGGCCCCCTATAAGCCGCCACAGCCGGAAAAGTACCAAACATTTCGACGCAACAACAAGCAAACTATCCCAAACAACCCCAAAAAATAAAACTCAATCGTGTGGAACCTCCAGGCCATTTGGTGCCCCGAAATCTCTAAAGATGTATCTGGTTCTTTCGGAACAGTATAGCGTTTTTGCAGTCCCAGGCCTCCAAAGTGTTGTACTGTGCCAAAAAACTAGTTTTCTAAGCAACATTGTGCAAAAACGTGGTATTGTCTCAAAAAAAACAACCCATTAATGTTAAACTAGACAGCGCAACACTATCGGTTCAATTCGTTTGATAGACGCCATCAAGTTTTGAACTGCATGCAAGCTATTCTGTTGGCAATTCAACGACTACAACTGGCCCCTGATGATTACAAACAAAACTAGCTCCTGATTGTCATGATTATTTGGCACAACACAATAGCTGTCATTCATTCTCTTCCAATATTCCTGGCCGTTCAAGTTTAAGCTTGGGGGAATTCATATCTATCTAACGAGTAAGAGTGCAACCCTGTAAGTTCAATCGGCAAAAAAACTAGAGCCTGATTATAACGTTGGCACAGTGGTTGTCCAATAGCTGTACTTCGTACTCTTCCATTCCAATATTCCCGACCGTTTAAACTTGACGGAATGAATATCTGCCTACTAAGAGCACAACCCTATAAGTCCAAATTGGCTCAATGGACGGGATCATGTTGTTTCAGGTGCAAGCTAAGGGGGATTGAAAATCAACAAACAGTATAAATCTAGCCCCCCCAAATTACAAAACACTAGCCCCTGATTGGAACGAATATTTGGCACACCGGTTGTCGTCCTTCATTCTCTTCTACAATCTCTTGGCTATTCGAACAGCATAACTCAAAACTACAACTTGCCTCCAATTAGGTTCATCAGTCTAGTTGAACTTTTCACAATGGAGTAAAGGGAGTGCGGAAACCAGACTTAGGCCACATGTCTCGATGCATTCCGTACTGCGTCCTAATTGCCCATTGCTACTCGCAGCCAATCATCAACGTACGTCCTTGCGCATGAAGTTTTGGCTTAAAAAATCTGGATATGAAGTAGGGCATATATTTCTGTTTTTGGTGAGTGTATATAAGGTTCCTTTTTAATATTGGTGAATGTATGTACCTGGTGTCCTTTTGGGGGTACAAGAAATATCTCACTTATGACGGTGTCGTTCAATTATGCAAGGATAATTGTCGCTCCCCTTCTGCTTTTTCCAAATGGTGGAAAGCTGTTCTTTCTAGGTGGAAATGTCTCATTGATCATTGGCAAAAGGGCAAGCACTTTGTTCTCCCTTTTGATGTCACTGCTCGGGACGGTTTCTGTATAGCGTGCCAATTGAGATGTCCAAACTTTTCAAAGTTTCTCATCAACTTTCATCGGAGACAATGTGTTCCGCATGCTCTCGTTTCACGTGTTAATGAAGTGCGCTCGGTCCTCTTGATGCTCGTGAAGGACTTGGAGCGGCTTCGTGGTGTGCTTTAGTTTTTCGCTTCTTGCTCGGACAGCTCTTCGGAGACTCCAGAGGGGTACAAGAAATATATACCCTCCTTCATATCTGCCTTGGGTGTGGCGAACTGTGCACCCAAACCACGAACGAGTTCTACAGGTAAGTAGCAGACCCGGCAGAGGCCCTTCGAAACACAAGCGCCTTCGCGAATTGCGCGCCGAAAGCAGTCGTGGAGTGCGTCACGCTGCAAATCACACCCATTTTTTCAAACACGTGTTCAAAGTCACAAAAATGCAGGCGCATGGGGGGGGGGGTGGGGGTAGCATACATATATACATATGTATGTGTGTAGATATGAAAACACGCACACGGTCCATCAGCCGTAAGAGCTGTTCATGTATTCAACACATGTATAACAAAGATATACACATGTGTGTAATTATGTTTTGTTATGCCTTATACGTAGGCTGTATTTCTACCAGGCATGATGCATGAGATGCGTTACATGCTTGATATACATGTAAAGTGTTGTCTGTTACCGTGTACATGCTATGTGTCACATACATATATAACCGGTTATGTTCTATTGTATGTGTTGAATTATATACTATGATCTAACGTGGACGATATATAAACGTGTTCGTTGTGGTGTGCTATGTATTACCCCTGATACAGTATATTAAACAAATCACTCGCGCACTGTGCGCTAAGTGCGCAAAGCGTTATAGATTGTCCATTGTAGTTCCCAAGGAGTCTATCGGCCTCTCTTCCGCTCTTGCCAGCGCAACCCTTGTCGCAGAACTTGATGTGGACGTTCGAGAGATGCTGCCTAAGGATCGAGATATTTGCCGAGTCGGGGAGGGGGGGGCAGCCCCAAACCCTGAACCCTTAACTCAAGTCGAGGGCGCAAGGGCTAACCTTTCTAGGTGCCTTTTGCAATAGGATCCTGTGTTGAGGGTGTAGGGTTTAGGGGGACCAAAAAGAGGACCCCAAATCCGATAGCAGGAGGAATAGCTTAAAGAAGCCCTACAACCCTAAATCATAAACCAGTGGGCACATCTTCCCGCTTTGCCCTTTTAAACCTCAAGGGAGCCCTTTTATCTTCCCAGGTCGCGGTCCCTTTTGAAACCTTTAGGGTTTAGGGTTCACTAGTCTACCGAGCAGGATGTATGGGTTCTATTTCTCGGTTCTCCTTGGCCGTGCCTGGAGTGCATCCCAATCTTGGTCTGAGTTCCCAGCACATCAGCCCAAACACTCTAAACCCCAAAGACTCAATCCCGACACAGACCCTGATTCAACCCCAACCCCCCCCCCCCCCCCCGAAACTACCCGAAACTACCCGAAACCCGAAACCCGAAACCCGAAACCCGAAACCCGAAACCCTAAACCCTAAACCCTAAACCCTAAACCAGCCCTAAACCCTAAACCGCCTGGGGGGGGGGGGGGGCCTGGACCCGAAATTTTAAACCCATGCTGCAAGCCATGCCGAATACTCAGTCCGGGACAGTGCGGCAACCTGTAGACGCTTGTCGCCCAACTGCAGCAGCATCAGGCTTTCGGATAAACCCTAAACCCGAAACCCTAAACCCTAAACCCTCAACCCTACACCCTAGTGGCGACTACGCAGGGGGTTCGGAGCCGGAGTCATCTTCATGTGGCCCGGGAATCCAAAAAAAAAGGTCGCGGTTGGGAGTTCTTGTGAGTTTAGGGTTTAAGTTTTAGGGTTTAGGGTTTATGGTTTAGGGTTTAGGGTTTAGGGTCTACGGTTCCGGGTTTAGGGATAGGAGGCTTGAAATAGACCCGCTGCCTCGCGGAAGATGTCCAAGGCGTCTAAGCCCATCTGCAGCGACTCCTCGAAACTGAAGAAAGGTTCTGGGACGAGGTTTAGGGTAAAGGGCGTAGGGCCCTAAACCCTAAACCGATTTGTGGCTTAGGGCGTAAGGTCTAGGTGGGCCATTAACGGTGTAGGTTTCGGGTCAGGGCGTTGGGCTTAGGGCTTTTCTTATGGCAGTTACATGGGCCCTTGATATGGCCCCTTACCTCCCTCAAAGGGTTCTCATGTATGGGCCCTTCATGTGTGTAGGGTATATAAAGGGCATGTAGGGGGGTCCCCTGCAAGGGCACATACTAAGGGACCATGCAACTACCCCAAGAGCTTCTCGCTTCTTTGTCGGTTATGAGGCTGCATGCCTTGCGATGTGTGGGTGCCGGCTTTGAACCCTAAGTCCCTACATGAGCCCAAAGCCCCTACGATCCTTGAACCCTGAACCCTGAACCCCAAACCCTAAACCCTAAACCCTGAACCCTGAACCCTAAACCCTAAACCCTAAACCCTAAACCCTAAACCCTAAACCCTAAACCCTAAACCCTGAACCCTCCCTAAACCCTTAACCCCATTGAAGCCATGTTCTGCTAGGCCTGGTAGGCTCCCCCACCCTCAGCCCTAAGCCCTCCACTCTTGAATGCTTGGAAGCCTAGGCCCCCCATTTCGCGCGAGCTTAGCTTTGGTCTTTTGAGCATAGGGTTCAGGGTTTGGGGTTTGGAGCTTAGGGTTTCGGGTTTGGGGGTTTTAGGGTTCAGGGTCTGGCGTTTAGGGTTTGGGGGTTTAGGGTTTAGGGCTGAGGTCAGGTCCTCTCGCTTCCTCGTCCCTCTCCGATCCTTGGCAGCAGCAGGAATGCGCGGGAGCTCACAACCTGAAACCCTTACAGTCTTTTCTACCTGGAGTCTCTAATGTAGTGCCTTTTTGGGGGTTGGTTTTCGGGGATTCTTGTATACTAACCCAAAAAGGTACTACAGAGGAGCCTTTAGGACCCTAAACCCTAAACCCTATACCCTTAGACCCAAAACACCACTCGAAGTTCTGACCTCCTGGCCTACGCTAGGACTCATCTTACTGACTGCGGGGCCCGCCCTGGATAAGACTCGAAATCCCCCCTAGGGTTTAGGGTTTAGGGTCTATACCTGGCGTCTCTAACGTGGTGCCTTTTTGGGTTGGTGATAGGGGGTTCTTGTATACAAACCCCAAAAAAGGTACTACATAGGAGCCTTTAGGCAGGGCCTAAACCCTAAACCCTAAACCCTAAACCCTAAACCCTAAACCCTAAACCCTAAACCCTAGGGTTTGAGGTTGAGGTTTTGGGGTTTGGGGTTTTAGGTCTCCCAAGCACCGCCTCGGAGATGGCAGCTCCCCTCCCAACACCGCCCTCTTCTGAGGGCAGCTCGGCTACTCCAAGGGCAAAGGGGTTTCGGGTTTAGGGTTAAAGGCTTAGATTTTGGGGTTGAGGGTTTAGGGTCGAGGTTTTGGGATTGAGACTGCGTTCCAGTTTAGAGGCAAAGGTGTAGGTGAAAACGGTCTGCTCAGCCGCTGGCCATGATGGGCTGAAATTAATGAACTCCTACAGTAAACCCCAACAAGTTGGAAACCTTTTTAAGGACAAATAGTGCTGGGATTCCCTATACTTTACTCTTAGGGATTGAGGCTATTGAGTTTCCAGCTTTTTGGCTTCTACTGTAATTACTTGTGAGGACAGTGCGAGAGCTGTGCCCATCAAGACCAGCTAGCCGCCCAGATAAAGAAAATTGGATGTGGCAGGCCCTCACAGGCAGGATTCTCCTCTTTTGCTGCGGGATGCTGGAGACGCATAGGTTGTAGGGTTTAGGGTTTAGGGGTCCAGGGCAGCAGACGAGGGCGCGGCCGTGTTGATTTCCGCCAGCGACAGCATCATGGACGCCTGGCCATGCGACATGCTTGTGCTAACCGCAACAACCCCCCCCCCGGCCCCAAATTCTCAATCCGCTACAATCACATCGTTAACTGCTAGCATAGGTGAAGCAAATGTGTGTGTTCGTGTGCGTGTATATGTATATATATACACACACAAACATAGCTTGTATGATTCTGTATTTGTGACGTTACATTCTCAGTTTTACCTATACACTACGAATGTTGGTGTTGCTACATAACCCTAAACCCTAAACAGATCTCGAGCCTAACAACGAAAAAAGACGCAGACAAAACACCCCAAGCAATTTCCCCCCCCCCCCCCCGGAGACCGGTCCGTGGCTCAAAAGCCCTAAGCCCTCAAGCAAAACCCTAAACCCTAGCAAGGTTTTGGGTCAATAAGACTTCACAGGCCCCTCCAGCCCCCCGAAGTCCTAACCTTCGATTTAAAACGCCAATTCCGAACGACAATGTATACATACATATATATATATATATATATATATTATATGCAACATGAATAAAAGCATATCATATATGTATATACATAAACATACATACACCCTAAACCCTAAACCATGTACATATATTCTGTGTATTCATACACACACACATATATATATATATATATACATATATGTACATATATATATAAACAAATACATATTCATGAATGCGGCCCCCTTCGGAGTCCAGAAACCAGTCCACGACCCCAAGCCCTCTCAAACGCCCAACACCCTGAGCCCTTCGTACACCGTCTCAGCCCTCAACCCTAAACCCTAAACCCTGAACCCTACACCCTAAACCCTCAACTGTTAAACCCTAAACCCTGAACCCTGAACCCTGATCCCTAAGCCCTGCACCCTCAACTTTTAACCCTCTATGGGTGGTTGTCAACATGATGGTCCCTTTTTGGATCCCTATTACGTATAATACGGCACCTAATCCTAGTTGTCCAGTACCTAGGAAAACGAAAGGTTGACCTTTGGGATTATGAGGGGATTCTAGTTCCCCAAAAAGGTTGAAGGATATTTAGGGTTTAGGGTTTAGGGTTTAAAGGTTAAAGGTTACCTACTCTACAACTCAGTAATATTTAGGGCACCCCAAAAAGGATCATCATTTTGACAGCCACCCAGATAAGACCTGGAAGTCCAAACATCCTGCAGCCTGCCCCCTAAACCCTAAACCCCAAACCCCAAACCCTAAACCCTAAACCCTAAACCCTAAACCCTAAACCCTAAACCCTCCGCAAAGGCGCCGCGGCTGGCCTCTCCTATCCTGCTGCCCAGCTCCTGAAATCTCGTCAACTCCTGCTCCAGGGATGAGGGTTTGAGGGTTTGGGGCGCATGGGGTTTAGGGTTTTAGGGTTGAGGGTTTAGGGTTTAGGGTTTCGGGTTTAGGGTTTGGGGTTGAGGGTTTGGGGTTTAGGGTTTGGAGGTTTAATTAGGGTTTAGGGTTTAGAATTTGTTGGTTGGGGTTTTGATTTTTTGGGTTTTGGGGTTTTAGATTGGGAGGGGGTTGGGGCTTAGGGCTTAGGGCTTGGGGTTTACGGTTAGGTTCTTAAGGTTCTTCGCCTTCAAGCCTCTTCTTACTTCTTACCCCCCACTTCCCCAAAACGCTAAGCCCAAAACCGAAAATCCTGAACCCAAACCCAGAGGGTTTAGGGTCTGGGCTTTAGTCTTTAAGGGGCAGTAATTGGGCTTCTGCCTCTAGGATACGTCAGCCAAATTTACGACCTCAAAACCAAAACCCCAAAACCCTGAACCCTAAACCCCAAAACCCTGAACCCTAAACCCTAAAATCCTAAACCCTAAACCCGAACAGCTGAGAGGACTTCGGGGAGTCTAGACGTCTTTTTGGGCTGTTCATAGGAGTCAATAGGAGCTTAAAGGGATTGTTGGGCTAAAAGGAGTTCAGTGTTTAGGGTTTCAAAGGAGTTAATAGGAGCTTAAAGGGTTTGTTGGGCTTATAGGAGTTCAGTGTTTCTGGTTTGGCGTTTGGTGTTTAAAGGGTTTGTAGAGGGCTTAAAGGGCTCAATTAATGGGGGTTTTGAGGTTTAGGGTTCAGGGCTTATAGGGTTTACGAGGGTTATGGGGCCTACCGGTCGGGTGGGGTTTATGGGGTGGGGTTTATAGGGTGGGGCTTATCGGTTTTGTGGGTTTAGGGGTTGTTATACCGGGCAACGACCACGAAGCGCGTAAACCAAAAGCCGCACTGTGACTGCACAAGACAGCAAAAGCTTTAAACCCTAAACCCCCCACACCCCAAACCTTAAACCACAAAACACCAAGCCCGACCCCCCATTGATAGATGAACAAGATCCCTGAACGCAAACCCTAAACCCGAACCCCCCATAAACCTTACAAACCCTTTCAGCCCTCTAACTCCCCTAAACCCTCAACCCTAAACCCTAAATCCTAAACCCTAAACCCTAAACCCCCATAAACAGCGGCCCGACGCCCTCTCAGCCTTGTTCACGGTATCCAACGCTTCCGTCGGCCTTTGGCCGTCCGCTTTCCTGCCCGGCAACAAGCACTACGAGGTTCCGGCTTTAAGGTTTAGGGTTTAGGGTTATAGGGTTTGGGGTTTGGGGTTTGGGGTTTGGGGTTTGGGGTTTGGGGTTTAGGGTTTAGGGTTTAGGGTTTAGGGTTTAAGCATGTACTAGGGTTCCTGCAAACCCCAAAACACCTCATAAACCCGAAACCCAAAAAGCCGATGAGTCCCTGTAAACCCTATAAACTCTTGTAAGCCCTAGAACTCTTAAGCATGTACTACAAATCCCAAAAGAAACCCTGTACCCATAAACCCTAAACTCGAAACCCAGGCCCTAGAGAACCTAGAATTCCCTTTAAGCCCTAGCACTCCTAAGCGTGTACTAGGGTTCAGGGCTGACAGGGTGCAGGGTCTTGGTGCGGGAAAACCTATGTCTTTGGCATAAACGCATGTGAAAAACATTGCCCTGCTAAACCTCGATAGGGAAAATGCTTGTCATCACCAAGAGGCTAGGGCTTAGGGCTTAGGGTTTAGGGGTTCTTTGGAGGCTACTTCGGTATATAGGGACAATTTCAGGTGTGTGTGTATATATATAGGTTACATAGAGAAATAAGATTCAGGGCCCCTTCTAGGGGTCCCTCCTTTTACCACTTAACCTGTGGCAGCCACATCCTCGAGAAGCAACCGGCTTTGCTGAGGTGCATCATTGGGCGTCTAGGCCAGGGCGAACCTGGACCCAAGAGTAACCTAGGAAACCCTAACCCTAAACCCTAAACCCTAAACCCTAAACCCTAAACCCTAAACCCTAAACCCTAAGCCCTAAACCCTTTTTGGTTTCCAGGGGCTTATAAGGGACTCTACCCCTTGAAAATGGGAATAAGGGCAGCTACGCTGTCTCAGTAGCAGCCACAATGTACATATGACCCCCCAAATGGTAGGATTCCCTCATAACAAGGGCCCGAAATAATAAGGTGCCGCTAAAATCGCAAACTCCCCTATCTCATGGACATCATCCTGCCGATGATTGCGGACCGCGCCTCTGTCCTCGAAGAAAGAGGCGTCTACCCTCAAAATCCAAAACCCTCAAGCCTGAACCCGAACCACCTAGGCCAAAACCCTAAACCCTAGACCCTTTTTGCATAACCCTGAACCCTAAACCCTAAACCCTACACCCTAACCCTAAACCCTAAACCCTGCACAGCATCTCCCGAAAGCAGCTGGAAGCCGGGCGCCGGCGTGCCGCCCGGCCCAGTAGGCGACGTTGTAGTAGGCCCAACAGTTCTTAAGGAGTTATACCTTACACTGCAGAGGGTTTAGGGTTTAGGGCTTCGGGTTTAGGGTACAGGATTTAGGGTTTATGCAACGAAAACCTTCAAGTATAAAAAGGTGTTCCTGGACTGTTTTTTTTTTTTATGAGCGAGGGCACCTTTCTTCAGTAGAGGGTCTTGAGGTGTCTGGGAATATGAGGCGAAATGGAGGTGCACTCCTCTGGGGATCGGCATCATCTATGGGGCCTCAACTTATATAAGCTGAGGTATGGGTACCAGAACTCGGGATAAGTGAGTCCCTGAACTATAGTGCTACTACAGCAAGAAGAGCAAGGGACTTGTTCCCAATGAACCCTAAACCCTAAACAAAACAACACTAGCTGGGAGTGCCGGAACTGGCCTGAGCTTGCCGGCAATTAGGATTCGCAAGGCTTCGGCGGTCTTCGCGTGATCCTTGGATGAGGTTTAGGTTTTTGGTTTGACCGGGTCGACCCCACAATGCGGCGTAACAGACAGCCCGTAGACCGTAGACCCCAACAACCGAAATCACCCCATGCTCTACCACACCCGGCACCCAACCCCTGAACCAAAACCTTCAACCCCAAACCAACCCTAAACCCTAAACCCTAAACCCTAAACCCTAAACCCTAAACCCTAAACCCTAAGCCCTAAACCCTAAACCCTAAACCCTAAACCCTAAACCCTAAACCCTAAACCCTAAACCCTAAACCCTAAACCCTAGCCCTAAACCCTAAACCCTAAAGCCCAGACCAGAACAGGCCCTAAATCTTGATTCCAGCTGCGGCCCTGCCTGAACCCCACGCTTGAAACACTACAACTACCCTAATTAAAGACCCCCCCTGGTTCTTAGTAGGGAATGAGGGAATGAGGGCCCTATATATACCCTTGAAGGGACTATGTAGGGGGGAATGAGGGCCCTATATATACCCTTTAAGGGACTATGTAGGGGGGAATGAGGGCCCTATATATGCCCTTTAAGGGACTATGTAGGGGGGAATGAGGGCCCTATACCCTTTAAGGGACTATGTAGGGGGGAATGAGGGCCCTATATATACCCCTTAAGGGACTACAGTATGTGGGGCCCTCATTTCGCCCCATTCCCTACTAAGAACCAGCCAGAAGAGCCGGCTAAAGGTCATTGACGTCCTCTGACTGTCCTGCACTCCCGGGTTTAGGGTTTAGGGTTTAGGGTTTAGGGTTTAGGGTTTAGGGTTTAGGGTTTAGGGTTTAGGGGACTAACCTAGGAACCACTCCTGCTTCTCACTCGCAACCTACACCCGTGAGTCCCCACTCAAGGATCATCACCCCTGAACAGCCCTAAACCCTAAACCCTAAACCCTAAACCCTAAACCCCAAACCCTAAACCCTAAACCCTAAACCCCCGACCTCGAAGCCTCAGGCTGCCTCTGAGCCGAGCGACCCCGAGGCCCTTGAATATGTCGGCAGCTTCCTGCGCATCCTGCGCCCGTGGTAGGGTTTAGGGTTCAGGGTTTAGGGTCTAGGGTCTAGGGTTTAGGGTTTAGGGTTTAGGGTTTAGGGTTCAGGGTTCAGGGTTTAGGGTTTAGGGTTTAGGGTTTAGGGTTTAGGGTTTAGGGCTTAGGGCTTAGGGTTTAGGGTTTAGGGTTTAGGGTTGGGGGTTTAGGGTTGGGGGTTTAGGGTTGGGGGTTTAGGGTTTGCGGTTTAGGGTTTATGGGTGTAAGGTTTAGGGTTGACGCTTGCTCTGCAAGCTGAGGGATGCCTTCACCCACAAACGCGTGCACACCACCTTAGCTTGCGCGGATGCTTCGGAAACCGCTTAACCCAGGGTCCATGTATCTAAACCTAAACCCTAACCCTAAACCCTAAACCTGAACCCTGAACCCTGAACCCTGAACCCTGAACCCTAAAACCCCTTGGGCCTTAAAGTACCTCCTATACAGGGACTTCACGGCCCAAGTATTTAATTATAAGGTACATGGACCCTTGGGGTATGGATGCATGCGTAAACCCTGCCTTAAGAACCCAAGCCGACTTTTCTGAAACCCTAAACCCTAAACCCGCCTAAGAAGCCTAGAAGGGGCTTTGTAGCAATGACCTGCGATGCGGATTTAGGGCATAAGGTCCAGGTCTTACAGGGCTTGAAGGCTTCAGGGTTTAGGGCTTCAACCCTAAACCCTAAACCCTAAACCCTAAACCCTAAAACCCTGCATCAGAGGGCTTAGGGTTTCCTGTAGGGTTTTCAGGCTGCAAAGGGTTTACAAGGAGAGCTTCCCCTCAGCCGCCTAAGCCGCCTAAACCTGAAACCCTAAAATCCTAAACCCTAAATTCCCTAATTCCCTAATTCCTGAATTCCTAAACCCTAAACCCTAAACCCTAAATCCCAAACTCTAAACCCTAAACCCCGTGGCCTTGATGGAAGCGTCGGTCTTGGTATGCAGCTGTGCTATCTCTGCATCCTGCGCGCGCGCGCACGCGCAAGGGAGTCATTTGGTCAGTTCTCGAAGTTATGGCCCGGTCCCTCTTTGGGGTGCCTTAATAAGGGGTTCAGGGTTTAGGGTTTAGGGTTTAGGGTTTAGGGTTTAGGGTTTAGGGTTTAGGGTTTAGGGTTTAGGGTTTAGCCAAGAGAAACCTAGGAACAAAAAGGGTGCCCTTCTTGGTTTCAAGAGGCTTATAGGGGAAGCTAAGCCATAAAACAGGGAATAAGGGCCTACTCTGGGTCCCAGAATAAGAGGGACGCCTTACAATAAGCACCCCAAAAGGGACGATAACTTGGGAAGTGGGTCATTTGGATCGTTCAGGGCTTTCTGAAGAGGTTTGAGGTTTTAGGGTTTAGGGTGCAGGGCACCTCGCATGGGAGGGGGGGGGGGGGGGGTTGAAGATGCGTGCGTGCGCTTTGGATCAAGAGGGTGTTTAGGGTTTAGGGGCTAATTAGGGTCCTGGGCGCTTGCCCCTTGCTCCTTCGGTTGCGAGAAGGACAAAGCAACAGCAACACTGGCAGCGGCCGTGCTCGGAAAGGATGGTCGTGATGAAAGCAGTGGGATCACTCACCCAGAGAGCCCAATACCCCTTAAATAAAGAAAATACCTTCAACTATACAGGGATCCTTAACATGATTTAAGCTATGTTCCTTAATTAGGGGGTATTGGGCTCTTCGGGCATGTCGAAGCCGTTCGAATTTCTCTCGTCCCCATGGAGCGTCACACTTGTTGTGAGGGCACGCGCCTTAAATCCTAAACCCGAAGCCCTAAACCCTAAACCCTACGACGCATGTAGACGCCTCTAAAAGTGATGAGGCAGCGTGACACAGCTTCTTTGATGTCATCGACAGTTCCTGAGGTTGACACCTCGGGTTTAGGGTTTAGGGTTTAGGGTTTAGGGTTGAGGTGGGAGGCCGGGGATGTCTTGGACCATAAAGGTCCTTTCCAACTAGGCTTCCTGTGTCGAACGTTTCATCGACTGAAACGTGAGACCACCATAACTGCAAAACGGTCCACTACGCATGATGTATCATGTCACTCTGGTACAAACAAAACCCCTCATAAACAGAGCCCCCAACAAGCGAAACTAAGGAAGAACGAAAAGCGTGAGGGTATCTGTAGGGGCCCCTGTGAAGTGGGCCTCCAGAAATGACCTCTCGCACACCGCAGCCCTTTCGCACTCTAATGTTGAACTGCAACGTCTAAACGCAAAAAAGACCTAAACCCTAAACCCTAAACCCTAAACCCCAAAACTACTTGTCTTTCCTCCTTTCCCTGTTCGTGCTTTAGGGCTTAGGGCTTAGGGCTTAGGGCTCAGGGCTCAGGGCTTAGGGCTTAGGGTTTAGGGTGTGGGGTTTAGGGTCTGACAGCAGGTGTCTGTCACTGAGTGAGAAGCCTAAATTTAATTCCATAACACTAATATTTGCATAAGAACTCTCAGAAAATACACACGAATAATTCCTACATTGCCCTTCTAAGAAAATGTAGATAAGGGCACGTAGTACCTTAATACAATACCCTTATGAACGTAACCTAGCCCAAGCTACCATGATAAGGTTGCACAGTGCCTCCCTACGCCCTGAGCCCTAAAACCTACTGTAAACCCTAAACCCCCCAACTGAAGCTACTGAGCAAAAGCCCAGTTCACTTGTCCCAGCAATGATCTATATCTAAGGGTAGCTAGGTACCCTAGGGGGAGAGGGGGGAGAGGGGGGAGAGGGGGAGCGGGGGAGAGGGGGGAGAGGGGAGAGGGGGGAGGGGGGGAGAGGGAGTGGGAAGAGGGGGGAGAGGGGGGGAGACTGGGGGGAGAGGGGGGGGAGAGGGGGGAGAGGGGGGGAGAGGGGGAGAGGGGGGAGAGGGGGGGGGGAGGGGGGGGAGAGGGGGAGGGGGGAGAGGGGGGGCGAGGGGGGAGAGGGGGGAGAGGGGGGAGGGGCGAGGGAGGGGCTTAACCATAACCCTGTAAAACCCTATAAACCCGAAAAACCCTATAAGCCCTAACCCCTTGAAGCCTACAGTTCTCTGAGCTCCAACGGGAGCCTTAGGGAGTAGGAGGGAACATTGGGTTACATACCCCCTTTGAAAACACCCCCTTAAAAAGCCCAAACCCTAAACCCTAATCCCTAAACCCTGAACCCTAAACCCTAAACCCTGAAACCTAAACCCTGAACCCGGAAGACTAAACACTAAACCCTACTGTAAACCCTAAACCCTATGTCTCAAGGCAGCCGATGCCTTGAGCAGCTTCTGCGCCTTCTCCACCTGCGTGGACGTCGGGGGAAGGATTGCGGCAAAAGGAGGTTCAGTAAACCCTAAACCCTAAACCCTAAACCCTAAACCCTAAACCCTAAACCCTAAACCCAAAACCCACCAAACAGCAAGGTTAGTGCGCGCCACATCCCGAAGCCCTAAATCCGTCTGGGGACCCCACTCACGGCTAGCGTTTGGGGTTTCGAGTTTAGGGTTGAGGGTGTAGGGATTAGGGTCTAGGGTCCGAGGTTTATAGCGGGTTCGGGGGGTTTAGAGGGTTTCTGGAAATTATAGGGTTTCGAGGGTTTAGAGGGTTTCGAGGGCTTTGGGGACTTTTCGGCGTTCGGTTGGCCTTTTTTGGGGGTTTTGATCTTAGGATAGTTACATGGTCCCTTAGTAACGGGCCCCCTTATATACCCCTTATATACCCTATACAACCCAAGGGCCCATACCTCAGAACCCTTTAGAGACGGTAAGGAACCATATTAAGGACCCATGCAACTACCCTTAGAAAGGGCTCTACCTTGGACCCCTAAGATCGTACCCTAAACCCTAAACCCTAAACCCTAAACCCTAAACCCTAAACCCTAAACCCTAAACCCTAAGGGACCCTTTTGCAAGGATCCGCTAGGCGAATTTAAGGGGCCATGTGAGGAGTACAGTAAGGGAACCGGGGTCCGAGTATGCATGGACCATGTAACTACCTTTTCTAAACCCTAAACCCTAAACCCTAAACCCTAAACCCTAAACCCTAAACCCTAAACCCTAAACCCTAAACCCTAAACCCTAAACCCTAAACCCTAAACCTGAACCCTAAACCCGAAACCCTAAACCCTAAACCCGGGGGAGCCTTGGGTTTCGCCTATGGGGTCGAGCCCACTGCATATGAGTCATGAAAGCCCTAAAGCCAGAGTTCTTGGGGACAGTCTGCTCCAAAGCTACGATTTAGGGTTTAGGTTTAGGGTTTAGGGTTTAGGCTTTAAGCTTTAGGGTTTAGGGTGTAGGGGTTAGGGTTTAGGAGGTTCGGGGTTTAGGGTTTAGGGTTCAGGGTTTAGGGTCTGGCCCCTTTTGCCAACTAAAACATGACAGAGCCTAAGACCCTATACCAGGACAAGTCTGTGGAAGTTGGTAAGGGAAAATGTTCCCCTAAAACTAACCATTACCAAGACTGTACCCCCTGAACAACCCAACACGAAATTGCCCAGCAACCTCAGTGCATTGCGATCTCCAAAAACGTAAGCCCAAAGTGTAAAGAAGCTCTAAGCCCTAAGCCCTAAGCCCGAAGCCCTCTAAACCCTAAACCCTAAACCCTAAACCCTAAACCCTAAACCCTAAACCCTAAACCCTAAACCCTCCATGCGCCTGGGACATGATCGAGGCTCTGGCTTGTCAACGGGCCGAGCGTGCGCCCAGAGGGGTCGGAGACTCCGACCCTTTGAGCCACAAAGGCCGCCGAGGTTTTGCGATTGGGGTTTAGGATTTAGGATTTAGGGTTTAGGGTTTAGGGTTTGGTAATGGGGTTTGGGGTTTGGGGTTTGGGGTTTGGGGTAGTTTGGGGTTTGGGGTTTGGGGTTTGGGGCTTTGGGGCTTTGTGTTTAGGGTCTGAAGCCCTAAAGCCACGAAGCCCTAGAGCCCTGAAGCTCAACCCAGAGCCCTGACCCTCCGCCCCAAAATACCCTCAACCTCAAGATCCGACCAAGGAGTATTAAATCCCAAGCCCCAGACCCCTAAACCCCTAAACCTAAACCCCTAAACCCTTAGCCCCTGAACCCCTGAACCCCTACATCCCTAATAGGGATTCCAGTACCCCTTATTCTGACCCCTATTAAGGACTGGGGAGCATCCCAACCCTAAACCCTAAACCCTAAATCCTGAACAATCAACCCTAAACCCTAAACCCTAAACCCCGAACCCTAAACCCTAAACCTGGTGTTGAGGCCAAACCGTGTGCCTAAAGACACTCCTCGGGCTGAGAGATCTTTAGGGTTTAGGGTTTAGGGTTTAGGGTTTCGGTTTCGGGTTTAGGGTCCCGGAAGCCCCAAAAAAGGCCCCCAAAGCACTACTGTTGAGCCACATTTGGCTCGAATAGATTAGACCCTCAACCCCAAACCCTAAGCCCTGACCCTAAACCCCAAAGCCCCAACCCCGTCGATATTTCCACCACACCCAATCCCCATCTTTCCCCTCCATAAACAATCCTTCCAGCAGGTCGCCCACCAGACTTTGAAAAGCAAAGCCCTGAACATATCCAAGGCGTAGGGGTTCTAAGAGGATCTTTAGCTTCCTGTGTAAATGAGCGCTTTACAGGTTTTTGGGGGTTTGGGGGTTTTAGGTGGTGTTTATGCTTCATTAGTTGAAGCCCTGAACCCTAAACCCAAAAACATCGAAGAAGCAGGACGACGCCCCTCAAACCCCAATGCCTTCCTACAACGCCCCTGGAGGCTTTTTCGGGCTTATAGGATTCTTAACGTTTGGGGCGTTTAGGGTTTAGGGTTTAGGGTTTAGGGTTTAGGTGTTTGGCTTTAGGGTTTCTAGGTTCCTCCCCGTTTTAACCTTCAAACCTGAGGCACTAAACGCCTGGAAGCCTAAGCGGTGAAGCTCTGGAAGCCGTGCCTTACTTGCACAAAGTCCCCGCCCAAAAAACAAGTTTTCACAAGACCTAAACCCTAAACCCTGTAACCCTAAACCCGGTAACCCTAAACCCTAAACCCTAAACCCTAAACCCTGAACCCTAAACCCTAAACCCTAAACCAGTCCCTCGGGGGCTCCGTCCACGGCCCCTCGCAACTCTGAAGGCGATTCTCGGCCACCCGTAACTCCTTCCACAAGGTTTACTTGGGTTTAGGGTTTAGGGTAGGGTTTAGGGTTTAGGGTTTAGGGCTTAGGGTTTAGGGTTTAGGGTTTAGGGTTTAGGGTTTGGGTGTTTTTGTTTTTCTTTTTCTCTGGGCTTGATATGATTTAGACAGGCTTTACTACTAGGGTTCAGGATCTAGGGTGTAGGGCTTCGGACGGGAAGAGCTGCAATCTAGGGTTTATAGGGTTTAGAGTTGGGGGCTTAGGGGTTTGGGCCTTTTGGGCCTCGGGGTGTAGGCGAGTACATAAATTTTTGAAACCCTAAACCCCCAAACCGAAATTTAGGTTTGCGCCCTTAGTTGGGCCATGACTGTTGCCTGCAAAGTACCCTAAATCCTAAACCCTAAACCCTCAACCCTAAACCCTAAGCCCTAAATCCTAGCCCTAAACCCTAAACCCTATACCCTAAACCCTAAACCTAAACCCTAAACCCTAAACCCTAAACCCTAAACCCTAAACCCTAAACCCTAAACCCTAGACCCTAGCCCTAAACCCTAATCCCGTCACCCGACAAATGCCGGCCCTTCGCGGCCTCCAACGCTGGCGCTTCGTTTATGCCTCAAGAAAATGTAATCAACGACACATACGTTTAGGGTTTAGGGTTTAGGGTTTGGGGTTTAGGGTTTAGGGTTTGGGGTTTAGGGTTTGGGGTTTAGGGTTTGGGGATTTAGGTTTAAGGCCTGCCTTTATGGTCATTTTGGGGCAGCTGCCACATCGAGAGTTTGGGGTGTGGGAACTAGGAGTCAGGCTTCAGGGATTTCAGTTTTGGGACTTAGGGGTTTGGGGCTCAGGGACCCTCACCCGGTTTAGGGTCTAGGGTTTCCTGGGCTTTAGTTTGGGTCCGGTCTTATCCGGCTGAGTGGAGTGGAGGCGCCATGGAGGCGTGCAATGAAGCTCGAAAGCCCTATCCCCCCCAAACTGACCAGTTCAGAGAGGGTTTAGGGTTTAGGGATTGGACCGAAGCAGACTAGATGCCCTAAGGCCCCCTCCAAAACCCTTTCCCTGAATGTAAATCCGCAAAACCCATGCCCAGAGCCGGCAAGTAAACATGCCCGTACATATCCCTAGTTGTTACCCAAAGTCATAGGATTAGGGCTTAAGGTTTAAGGTTTGAGGTTTAGGGTTTAGGGTTTAGGGTTTAAGGATCAGGGTACGTAGGGGCTTAGGGTCGTTTAAGGGCTCCTAGAAGCGTCCCTTCCAAGCCCCCCTACACTCGAAGCCCAAGCCTCAAACCCCAAATCGCCTTCAGCAAATAAACCCCCCTGAACCCTTGCATCCTTGAACCTGAAGCCTAAACCCTAAACCCTAAACCCTCAACCCTCAACCCTAAACCCTAAACCCTAAACCGTCAGCTCTGGGTATCAAGCCGTTCAGATCGGCGAGCTCGTTGCCCGAGGCCTTGAGAGGGGCCCCCAAAACCACGTAAGGGCACAACCCCAAAGGGTCCATGCTTGGGTTACGTAGGGTCTCAGTGTTTTTGAGTTTAGGGGTTTAGGGTTTAGGGTTGAGGGTTTTAGGGTCTTTGAGTCTAGGGTTTAGGGTTTTACGGTTTAGGGATTTAGGGTTGTTGAGTTTAGGGTCTAAGGTTTCAAGGTTTAGGGGAACAGGGGGGCTGGTTACGTTTACAATAGAAAACCAAAACCGAAAGGGGGCAACCGCTGGGCAATCAATCAAATGGGTCCAGGGTTTAAGGTTTAGGGTTTGGGGTTAAGGGTTTAGGGCTAACCCGGCTAAACCCTAAAACCTGAACTCTAAACCACCCCAACCAAAATACAAAACCACAAGAGCCCCAGAACCGTCCCTGAGGAGTTGAAGTGCCCACGTTCAGGCTTTTGAGAAGGGTTCCCTTGAATTCCTGCTCGGGGTTTTTGGTGTCTAGTGGCGGGGTTTCAAAAGTGCTAGTTAAGGGGCCTAAGGGCTTTTAAGGGCGCTATGGGAACAGCTTTGCCTTCCCTGACGCACACGGCAACCGACATTTTTCATTCCGAAAGCGCTCGCGGGTACTTATGCTCGAGTCTTCGGAGGAGGGATGTCTCTCAACTCTTCAACGAGCCCACCAGCCCTAAACCTTCAACCCTAAACCCAGTAACCCAGCACGTCCTTTGCTTCAGCCTATTTTCTTCACACCTGCCTGACATTTTAGGGCTCATGCTTTCGGGCGCACTTCCCAAATCCGAAAGAGCTTCATGGGGAACACTTTAGACGGTCTAGGGTTTAGGACCCCTGGCCTAAACCCTATAGACCTCAAACCAGAAGCTAGGAATAACAAGCGTGCCCTTCTTGGTTTAAAGAGGCTTCTGAAAAGCGTTAAGAAAATGATTAGCGGGGGCCCAGGAATACCCTAAACCCCAAATTTGGCTGAACCCCAGCGCTACGCCCAGGCTGATTTCCAACGGTGCTTGCCATGCCAAATCCGACCAGGTTTTAGAGACCACTAGCCACCAGCGGCATTGGCCCACATAAAGCCAACACTCACTGCCGGTCCCATCGACCATTCGCCGTCCTCCGAGGATAAGTCAGAACAGTTGCGCGTGCTAAATTGGGATGTTCCCCTTCATATAGGGATTAGGGTACCCCCTATTACAAAGCCTATGAAGGACTGTTAATATAGGGGGGAAACATGCCAAATGCTACTGCCGAAGCTGAAACCTTGAACCTCTTGAACCCTTGGTGGCTCCGACTCACGAAAACCCGGCATGCGCGACGACGAAGCTATGTTCGATAGCAGCCAGCTATGTGTCAGATGTCGTACATCCATATATCTTATCTCATACACCAACAATACATATCACATAACAGAAATCACGCAGCCGTAGCCGTATACATAAACCATACATATATATATATATATATACATATCATATCATATCATATGTGCATATATATATATATACATATATGTATGTGTATGTAAGGTCCCCCGACAAAAACCACACAGAAGTGAACCTCCTCAGTCAGCTGCCACCATGCAGATGAACACGAAGACAGCGCCCAGGTTCATCAAGTCCAACAGCATCGAGATGCCGTGGACCATTCCTCGGAGGTTTATAGGGCTTTGGAGAAAACGACTCCTCAGCCCTAAACCCTAAACCCTAAACCCTAGACCCTAAACAGCCTAAACCCTAAATGTACCATAACCCTAAAAAGAACCCTAGGCCCTCAACGGTAAGCCCTAAACCCCACAATCCTGTCGGTTCCTGGGGTACATCGACTCAGGGGTCCACTTCGGTTGTCCCTGGCCTCTGGGCGATCTTTTGCGTTTAGGGTTTAGGGTTTAGGGCTTGGGGTTTGGGGTTTAGGGTTTAGGACGGCTGCAGAGAACCTAGCCCCCCCCCCCCCCCCCCCCCCCCCCCCCCCCCCCCCCCCCCCCCCCCCCCCCCCCCCCCCCCCCCCCGCAAAAAAAAAAAAAAAAAAAAACAAAACAAGGAAGCCAGCTACCAGTTGCCTGGTGTGCGACAAAACCCTCAAGCCCAACACAGAACCCTAAACCCTAAACCCTGAACCCTGAACCCTGAACCCTGAACCCTAAACCCTAAACCCTAAACCCTAAACCCTGAACCCTAAACCCTACACCTTAAACCCTAAACCCTAAACCCTAACCCTAAACCCTAAACCCTAAACCCTAAACCCTAACCCTAAACCCTAAACCCTAAAGGCAGGCATCCGAACTTCTTCTTGACCTCCTTCGAAGCCTCACTGAGCAAGGGCGCATTGCTGCTCGCGTCTTTGAGATGCTGCTTGTAGAGACTGACCTCCAGGGGGGGTTTAGGGTTTAGGGTTTGGGGCTTGTAGAGGCTGACCTTCAAGGGACTCAAGGTATACCTTAGGGTAGGGTTTGGGGATTAGGGTTTGGAGTTTAGGGTTTAGGGTTGATGCTGCTTGTAGAGGCTGACTTGTCAGCTGCTGTGGAATCAGGGTACACACACATACATATATATATATATGGCAAAAGAAACAACGGGCTTGGGTTATGAAGGCCGGTGGCCTCTTTACCTGCTACCCTTATACCTTAACATAGCCCCTAGATACCCTAATAAGAACCCCCACATATGCCCCTACAAAACAGAAACCCTACTTAAAGAGACCACCAACCCATACAAGGCTTGGGGTTCATTCTTCAGGCATCTTCCGGTTCAACCTCTCAAGGGATTCAGACTCGTACCCCTTAGGGTTTGAGGTTTGGGGTTTGGGGTTTAGGGTTTAGGGTTTAGGGTTTCGGGTTTAGGCACCCCTCATGGTTCCCTTCACATTCCTAACATGGCCCTCATGTTTCCTCAGGAATCCACAAAAAGGGTCCCCAAACCGAAGGGTACAACCTTAGGGATGCCAGGTAGAACCCCATGAACTTCAGCGCTTAGGATGCAACAGCTAAGCCCTAAAGTTGCCCTAAAGCCTAAACTTTGAACGATGAACCCTAAACCCTAAACCCTGCGCAGTCTTGTGAGCTCAGGGCCGTGCCATCAGCTCCGTCGTTTTGGGGCCGAGACCGAACCTCAATCATGTATAGGGTCCTTAAGGGTTCAGGGCTTAGGGTTTAGGGAGCGCGGGCTCAGCGGGGGGGGCGAGGGGGAGTACCTCAATGTTACCGAAACTTCCGTAGGCATTAAACTCTGCCTGCAGGGTGCATACTCTGGCTTCTGGGACGCTATCTGGAGCCCCAAGATTTGGGGTGTAGGGCCTACAGGGTGTATAGGGCTTAGGGTGTCTAGGGTCTAGGGTTTCGGGGTTTAGGGGTTTAGGCCTTAGGGTTTAGGGCTTAGGGTTTAGGGCCCGAGTGCCCCGAGCGACTGGTTGATCAGCGCCAGGAGCAGCGCCAGCAGCATCGCAAGGTTGGCCACGTCCCAGGCCGGTGAGGTGGCCCAGTGGCCCCCGAGCGCAGCCAGGCAGGATGCCTCCGGCTTGGGGTTTAGGGTTTAGGGTTTAGGGTTTAGGGTTTAGGGTTTAAGGTTTAGGGTTTAGGGTTTAGGGTTTAGGGTTTAGGGTTTAGGGTTTGGGGTTTGGGGTTTGGGGTTTGGGGTTTGGGGTTTAGGGTTTAGACTTTAGGGCTTAGGGTTTACCTGGACTCCAGGAATCAGTCGCATGAGACATGTTGCACAGGGACTCACGCACTCTGCTCCCACCCAAACTATGCGGAACCATACTTATCAACCTTTTCAGGGTACGTGGTAACCAAACATATAACCTTATTCAGGGTACTGCTAACCCTACTTATACTCTACCCATGAGCCTCTAAGTTGTCTTCTGTTGACAGGGCTTGAGGACCCTGAAGCCTAAATGGGAGTTAAGATTTGGGGCACCCTTGGGGATATAGACCCTCTCAATAAGGTCCCTGTTAAGAGGCCCAGAAGCAGAGTGACCCTTTAAGGGAACCCTAAACCCTAAACCCTAAACCCTAAACGGCTGCAGGTGCAGGGGAGGGCCAGGCGAGATGCCGTCTGCAGGGCGAAGAACTCCGGAAAGCACGCCGCCTGCATGGTTTAGGGTTTAAGGTTTAGGTTTAGGGTTTGGGATTCGGAGTAGCCTCTATCAGCCTAAAGACCCACACAGCCCCTCAGGCCAAAAAACCCTGAAGCCCCTACTCCCAACAAAAACCGGGAAACCCCGACCCATGTCGAAGAGTGTGCCCCAAAGTTGCAAGCCTGAGTTAGGATATCACGGGTTTAGGGTTTAGGGTTTAGGGTTTCGAATTTAGGGTGGGGCGGGTGGGGGCTTTGAGGGGCGCCTTGACAACCCAAAACCCTACACCCCAAACTGCAAGGCCCCCCACCTAAATCCTAAGCCCTAAACCCTAAACCTGAAACCGTAAACCGCAAACCGCTGAGGTTACGGTTTTGACGACTCACAGCGTTTTAGGTCTTAGCGCTTGTCAACAGTTAACATACCAAACCCCTGGATCTTCTCATATAGATTTTAAATTTCCCATTCCTTATTGGAAATTGTTTCCATGAGGTTCTTGATCCGGATCAATGAATTCTATCACCCTTCATTTTCAAATTCATGTTCTATCTCTCTTCTTAAAACTCATTCTATTGTTATCACTAGATTGTTTTTATCTCATGTCATTACACTCACATGTGGCCACATGTTGCTAAAAATTTGAACCAGGCAAGTCGCCTGGCTTTAAACTCAGGCCTATTGTCAGGGAAGGATTGAAATTCATGCCAAGCCCTTGGTATCTCGGCTTTATAAGCCTGGACAGGCTTCTCCATGAAATTCAAGACAGAATACATCATCAGCACAGTGAAAACCTTCAGTCTTCTTTCGCAGCGCAGAGCCATGTCTTCTGGAGTACCCTGGCAACCAAACTCAGGGCAGGTAGCCCTGGCTTCCACTCTGAGGCCACCAAGCTGCTCATCAGGAGTGGCAAGAATCAGCCCCGTGATCTTCTCAGCTGTTACCAACTGCTTGTTGATGGCACTGCGGTTCTTAGGGAATGCAAATTGGCACCTGCCTTTGTAGGTCCTGAATGCTTTGTGCAAGCATTGATAAGCAATCAAACACTTGCCGATGTCATTCCCCTTGAGTGGAGCATCTCTGCCAGACCTGCTTGCCTTGATCTCGAGGGCGCCATAAACCATGGATTACTTTTCCTGTTGTAGCCCAGGCAATATGAGGCGCACCCTGGCTTTCAAAGCAGCGGCATGCATTTCGTTTGCGCACGTTGGGCGGCTGCGCCGGTGCCTCTGCGTGGTCGTGTCGTACGCGGACGCAGATGTCGTCTGCGGACACGTTGCTGCACTCCTGAACTTCAATACATGTATGGGCAGCGCACGCGCGATTACCGCTCTGCAACTATAGGGACGGCGCGTGGAAGTGGTAGTGATCGAAGACGTCCCCGCTCATGCCGCGCAGCTCGATGTACAGGCCACCTGGTCAGGAGGTGCTTCCGCATGTGTGATAGACAAATGCAACACCACGGGCTGCCTGCCTCGTCAGAAGAATTGCGCCTGAAGGATCAGGGTCGTCATGCCGCCTGCAATGACAGGACAGATGCGCTGTTTTCGACTACCGAAGCAGGCGCACCGGCTTTCGCCTTGCCGGCAGACGGCGAGTTACGAGAGACTTCAAGAACCGGTTGTTGACTGCGCTGCAGGATTGAATGGGTCAGGTCGAGGTGTGCCAAGCAGCAGCTCTCGATCCGCAAAACGCTCTCGGCCGAAAGCATCAGCTCGTTGTTCGCACACACACACACAGACAGCTGCACTGATCTTCTCCGGAAGATACAAAGAAAAAAACCCGCTGGCCGGCGCTCACACCAGCCAGAAGAGCCTCAAGGATCCAAGCTGCGGCGCGATAGGATCGAGATAGGCGACGCCCGAAGCAAAGCTCGTTGTTTCTGTCCAAAATGTTTCTTGGGAGAGCGCCAGGTCGCTGCGATGAGGCGGAATAGTGGGCGAGCCTTTGCACTTCCTCACCCACCTTGCGTCCTCCTCCATCACAGCGTGAGCTCCTCGGCGGCGTGTTCAACTCGACGCTATCGTTGAAGGCCTTTCTGTCCGACACGGCCGCAATGCGAGATCGGCGAGAACGCACGAGGTCTTCTCGGACGGACGCAAGAAGATGTTCCCTCGCCCAGCACGCGTATCTGCTCGCCTGCTCAATCGAGAGTATGACATTCATCGTAACAACTCGCCTGCGACTTGGGCCTCTTCGGCAGGATGGCGGTGCTCTCCCGTGATGCTGAGGCTCCCGTTCTGCCAGCGCACCACAGTACGAGTGCACACTGAAGCTGCGAGCACGGGGGCCCGGCCTCCTCCAGGTTGAAGAATGCAACCTCCGTGGCGTGTACTGCCACCAAGACGCGGCGATCCCCGATCTCTGCCTGGGCCGACGCAGAACTTAGCCGGGTCGTTTTTTACACTACGTACATCTACATCTTGACTTTGCGCTGCTTTGGCGAAGGCGTACCACAAGGCAACGGGGAGGTTTTCCGTGAAAGAGAGCCATGGTGATGCCTACACCACGCAGAAAGCTCGACCTTCGTCTATTCATGCACTCATGGAGCACACATGGCTGGGTGCACAGCAGGAATGTGTGTCACCCACTTGACTGACCCACGTCAAAACCCAGCAGCGTGATCTTGCTGTTGTCCGCCAAGCCTGCAAGCAAGGTCTGCCCCTGTGTGCCAGGAAGGCAGGCCACCCAACACACCAGCGTTGACCCCAGCTTGTACGGTTGCACAGGGCCACTGTGCTCCATGGTGGGCTACAAAAAACGGCAAAATATCGCATTTCTGGAAGGCAGCAATGATTCAGAGGTCAAGCATGCTGCTTGCAAGTTTTCATTTTGCCAGAAACCAAGCGGTTGCAATTGGGAGGCCCGCAGCAAAAGATATCCAAAGGGTGTGAAGCCAAGTGAATGAATTCCCCTCGCTCAGGGTAGATTTTGGGGGACTCCCACCCTCTGCAGGAAGCTCATGGACAGGAATTCTTTTGAAGATCATGTCAACATCGACAGGGCTTGTGACAATTGCCTGGCCATCCCTTTCAAGATCTCCCCCTCCAGCGACGCTTGACAATATTCATCAAGTTCATCAAAGTGACCTGAGTCTCGAGGACTCCTGGCCCTGTCTCTTGCAAGGTCCATGACTAGCACAAATTGTACACACCAAGCTTGACCTGCTGCAGATACAGAAGAAACTTGCTTTAAGCACACTAAGCACTCACCTCTGGGCACTCACAATGCAACCACCAAGCCACCCTCAATACAAGCACATGAGCTGGGATAGCTTTCCAGAGAATAGCTTTTCCTTGGGTTTTCCAAACCCTGAAACCCTAAACCTGAACTCTTGTACACACAAGCATGTCACTCAAGCACACAGGAGCCCTTGCCTACACAAGCACTTGCACACTAAGCACCCACCACTGGGCATTCACAATGCAACCACCAAGCCACCCACAACACAAGCCCATGAGCTGGGCAATACACACGCAAGGCTCTGACGGGTTGGACCCACCCACCACACCCATCTCTCCCAGACCCAATTTTGGGCTCGACCCCTCACCCCCTCGTTTCGCATTGTGGACCAGACGTGGATGGAAGAGCTTTCCCAAAAAAAAGCTTTTCTCTGGGTTTTTCCACCATTAAACCCTGCAGGCACTTGGGCCCACACAGGCTATGCACGGCTCAATCAAGTCGCAATGCACACACAAGGCTCTGACAGGTCGCAATGCACACACAAGGCTCTGACGAGTTGGACCCCCACCCCAACCATCTCTCCCTGGGAGTCTTTACAGGGTTTAGGGCAGTTTTAGGGTTTCGGTTTTAGATTCTTGATAGGGCTTCAGGCTGTTCAGGTTTTCGGTTCAGGGCATGAAGGGCTTAATCATGTCTGTGCTAAGTAAGGTTTAGGGTTTCAGCGTTCAGGGCTCAGGGTAGAGGGTTTAGGGTTCTGGTAGAGTCCATGTGTCTTTGTAGGCTGTTTAAGGTCCAGGGCTTCAGGATGTGGGGTCGATCAGTATAAGGTTTAGGGGTTAGAAATCTCGGCTTAGCGTTGAGTAAACCCTAAACCCTAAACCCTTAACCCTTATAAACCCTAAACCCGAAACCCTAAACCCTAAACCCTGAACCCTAAATCGTCCCCTTTGCTGCCTGGATGGTGGAGAAGGCCTCTTTTCCGAGCCAGCGCGACTCCTGCGGAGGGCTTCGTCCCTTAAAACCTCCTCCTTGTCTAGGACTTTCGGGCCCTAAACCCTAAACCCTAAACCCTAAACCCTAAACCCTAAACCCTACACCCTGGCCCCTACACCCTGAACCCAAAACCCTAAACCCTACACGGGGGTTCGTAGGAATTCGTGAAACACAGGCGCCCAGCGAATGTAAA